AAACTCTGTCTTGTATACTTTGGGTCTGTGGCCAGAGTGACCAATTCTTGGAGAAAGATACCACGCTTGGGAGGGTGGAGGGACAGCACAGGAGAGGAAGATCTCAGATGAGATGAATTGATACAATAACTAGGGCAATGAGGGTAGGTGTATAGGTGTCAATGAGACTGACTCAGGACAAGGCAGGCTTCAGAGCTATTGTACAAAGGGTTGCTATAAGTCACAGGTGACTCGACGGTACAGAACAACACCACCACTCTGGAAGTCAGTCACGTTGGCATTTTCTCAAAAAGCTGAACATAGAAATTCCCTATGATCCAGATATTGCACTGCTTGGAATATACCTTGAGAAAATTAGAACTGAAACACAAACAGAGATTTGAACACCAATTTTCATAGCAGCATTATTCACCATCATAAGAACATGGAAATAGACCAAACATTCAATCACACTTGGTATATTCACATGATCAAATACAGATAGTATGTAGGAGCAGTGATTTTGAAAATTACTGCTTAACTTGGGAGGGTCTGGAGAGCATTATGCTAAGTAAACAAACTCAGTTCCATAAGGATAAATACTGTAGAAGTCTATTTTTATAGAAAAAGAAAGATAACTAGTAAAATTTGTGTGAGATTCAAGATGGGGGGAGTGTAGGAGCAGAGGTGTGAGAATGGGCAGGGGGTAATCATAGGGTCACAGTATTAGGTGGGTAGAGGGAGGAATGGGTAAAGGAAATGGAAAATATCAGGTGGGAAAACAATGCATATGAACTTCATAAGTAAACCAGTATAAAATAAAAAAATGTATTTTATAAAAAGGTATTTCCAATAAAAAAGTCATTGAAAATACAAAATGCAATCATTATATTTCCAGCTTGTTTTTCTAAAACCAAACCCTTATTTTGTAATTACTATTCCTTCTTCACCATTTTCAACTTATGCTTCCTAGGCATCAATTATCATTAAGTATTCTGATTGCATATTTGCTCAATTTCAGATTCCAA